TTAGCATATCCTAGGCAAATTATATTTTGCTACCTCTGTGAACAACTCTCCTCAGGCTAATCCGTTCATCCAGAAGTGACTGCGCCCTCAGGCTCCCTCCTGCCTCTCCACTAAAGATGAGGACAGCAGGGCAGGAGGTGCCCAAGGCCAAGCTTTTGGGGACTAAGCTTTCTAAGGTGAGACAGCAAATGAAATACAACATCCTACTAAATGTTTTTTTCTTGATGAAAAAGTCTTAAGACCAAATTCCAGGTAAATGATAAAATGAATAACATATGAGAAGATTTAAGACTTTTAAGCCCGTTTGAAGTCTGTTTAAGAAGATCTCCTAATACTATTTATTAATCCTCAGACCTTGTCAGTTTATCCATTGTGGGGTATGTTGTTGTTGTTATGTGCCGTCGAGTCACTTGTAACTCATAGCGACCCTATATACAAGAGCCCTAAATTCTGCTCTATCCTGTGCCAACCTCACTCTCTCTGACACACCTACTCCTGCCACTCCAATCACTAAATCGATCCATCTCATTGAGGGTCTTCCTCTCCTGTGCTGTCCCTCCTCTCTCCCAAACATGATGTCCCTCTCCAAGGACCAGTCCCTCCTTGCAACATGACCGAAGTATGACAGAAGAAGCTTCAGAATCCTTGACTCCAACGAGCAGCCCCGTTTCACCCTCTCCAAGACAAACCTATTTGTTCTCTAGCAGTCCATGGTATACTCAACACTCTTCTCCAGTATGACAGCTCAAAGGCAACAATTCTCTTTCTATCATACCTAGTCACTGTCCAGCTCTCCAATTATAGTTACAAAATATCTTTCCCCTGACAATTTATACTTCTATTTTTTGCTCCTATCATGAGCTCCCATAGCCTAGTGATAAGACGCTACACAGTAATTCCAAAGGCACACAGTTTGCATCCACCAGCTGCTCTGTGGGAGAAGGATGGGCAATCTTCTCCTGTGCAAGTTATTACCTCCAAAAACCTGCTAGAGAGTCAGGTAGGGGTCAGTTCTGACTTGATGGAATGTATTAACAACAAAGGCTAAGAAGGAAGCCCTGTGTCCAAAGAGAATTGTGTTGCTAACACAAAGGCCAAACATCTATGACAGGTCAAGTTCACCAGCTGCTGTTCAGGAGAAAGATAGGCAATCTCTTGTAGGATTTACAGCCTCAGTTCTAGTTCAGTGGCACTGAGTTCTGAGTTTTTGAGTCTAAGCTTTTGTAAAACAATTGAGGAGATGAGAAAATAATTACATTTCTGCACTTCAGTACAGCAATCAGGCCATGATTGCCACCTTGTCAAAAGAGAATGCAGAAACACCTGACTTTTTTTTTTAAAAAGTATCCTTCCAACCATACCTCCAGGCATTATTGTGTATAATAAAACCAAGGTAGAACATTAAAAAAAAAAAAGTATCCTGATGTTAGATATCAGTCCTAAGAAATTAGCTCTAAAAAAATTAGTCCTAAAGAAATATGTCATAGAGTCAATGAAATAGATATAAATATAGGGATGCTATCAAACTCTGCCGTAACTAAATCTACTAGAATATGGATTTATTCAACTATTTGGTATTTTTAACAAATTATCCTTAAGTCCTTTGTAAAATGCTATGGATCAGAACATGATAAATAATTTGTGAGCTTAAAGGCTAAGACTATTGTTAGATTAGAGCTATATTCATAAGAAAGTGCAAATGTTAATTATTGTTGTTGTCAGGTGCTGTCAAGTTGAGTACAACTCATAGTGACCCTAAGAACAACAGATCTGAACCCTCCCCTATCTTGTGCCATCCTCACAATCTCTGACACACTAGAGCTCATTGCTGAAGTCACTGTGTCAATCCATCTTGTTGGGATCTTCTTCTCCTTCACTGACCCTCCATCCTTCCAAGCACGATGTCCCTTTCCAAGGAAAAGCCTTGCTTAGCTACCCATCCAAAGTATGAAAGATGAAGCTTCATCATCTTTGCCCCAGGGGCACCCCAGCTGCACTTTTCTCCAAGACATATCTGTTGGTTGTGTTGGCAATCTCTGGGATAATTAGTATTCTCCTCCAGCATCACAACTCAAAAGTATCAATTCTTTTTCTGTCATCCTTATCCATTATCCAGCCTCAGATGCATCGCAGATGATTGAGAAGACCACAATTTGGATCAGGTGTACACTGGCCTTTAAACTGACAACATTGCTCTTCAATATTTTGGAGAAGTCCCTGACAGCAGACTTGGCCAATGCAGTATGTCCCCTGATCTTCTGACTGCTAATACCAAGGATGCTGATTGCTGATCCAAGCAAGATTAAATCACTGACAGCTTCAATTTTTTTCTCCACCTACCATATTATGAAAAAGTGAAATTAAAATAGGCTTCAAAATATTATATGATTCTCAACGGATGCACTCAGGATAGTCAGAAGGAGGGGACAGCACTCGTATAGAGGGCATGTTGTTGTTTAGTACCATCAAGTTGGAACTGACCCATAGTTGACCCTCGGAGGGTTTTCAGAGACAGTTAATTGCATGGGAGAAGACTGACCATCTTTCTCCCTCAGAGCAGCTTGTGGATTCCAACTGTGTGCCTTCAGGGTTGCAGCACAGCTTCAAAGTACAAAGTCACACTAACATACTATTTTAAGATATTCTATTATGTAAGTCATTTGATCATATCTATAGTTGGTCCCTTTTATCAACTTCACACCCATGCACATCTCCTGAAACTATATGTAACCTCCCAATAAGTTTATAACATAGTTGTACATCTACCTACATGATAAAATTACCTTGTATAAAATCAAAACAATTTCAGAGAGGATGTGAAATTAATATTTGATTTTTAAAAAATAGTTTATTGTTGTTGTTGAAAATATATACAGAACACACACTAATTCAAGAATTTCTACATGTACGATTCAGTGACATTGCATCTGACCATGGGAATGGGAGCTCTGATAGCCTAGTGGTAAAAAGCTGCGCTGAGTGGTAAGCTGCTAGCGGTAAGAAGGCATGAAGTTCAAATCCACCAGCTGCTAGCTGCTCTGTGGGAGAAGGAGGAGCAGTCTACACACTTATGATTTACTGCCTCTGAAAACCCACTAACAGCTGTCAGTCAGTTTCGACCCAATGGCACACAACATAAACAACAACAACATGTATAGTAGAACTTGCTTTATTCTGTGTCATCCTCATCATCTCTGATAGACTGATACCACTATTACAGTCACTGCATCAGTCCTTCTCATTGAGGGGCGTCCTCTCTTTCGTTGACCCTCCACCTTTCCAAGTATGATGCCTTTTTCCAAGGATAAGCCCCTCCTAACAATATGCTCAAGGTAAAGTTTTGCTATCCTTGCCTCTAAGGAGCACCCTGGTTGAACTTTCTCAAAGTCATATTTATTATTCAGGTAGTCCACGGGATATTCAGCACGCTTCTCCAAAACCTCAACTTAGAGGCACTGACTCTTCTCCTATCATCTTTATTCACTATCCTACTCCCAGATACAAAGCAAATGATTGAAAAACTGTCGCCTGAATCAGGTGCACCTTAGTCTTTAAACTGATATTACTGCTCCCTAGGACTTGAGAGAGGTACTTAACAGCAGACTTTCTCAATGCAACATTTCTGCGTTCTTGTCTACTGTTACGAAGGGTGTTGATTGTGGATCCAATGAAGATGAAATTATTGACCTACAAAAGGGGTTCAGAGGGTTTGGTTTTGTTTCTTGAGGACAATTAATAAGCAATTGCTTTTAGGAGAATCCTAAATACGACAGTGGTGCAGTTCTTCTTAGACGCTCCTGAATCATGTCAGGAATTTGAAATACAAACAGGCTAAAAGTGGGTCGGGAATGCTAACTTTATGCAAGTATAAAATATCAACTTGCCAGATTTATTTTTCACTCACAAGGTCTTTTTCACTCTCTATTTTGTTATATCTGATGTGCCTTGAGCTTTTAATTAGTAAAATTCCTTGCCCTTGTGTTAGAACCGACTCATGGGTGACCTTCCACTGGGTTTCTGAGGTTGTAAAATGCACAAAGAAAGAGACTGCCCATCTTTCTTTCCTGGAGCCGCTAACAGATTTGAACTATTAGCCTTTGGATGAGCAGTGCAGCTCCCAAAAGATTACACAAAGGCACAATATAAATTCAGCAATAATAACAACAACAACGACGACAACGACTCTTATAATAAAGGTTTAATAATAATAATAAAATGCTTCTTAATGCTCAAAAATGGTCACATATTAAAACATCTTAAAATTGCAATTATCTAGAAAATATCTTAAAAGTAATGCCTCCTCCCCCCAATGTCTTAGATGACAGTATTACTTCGAATATAAAAACTTTAACATATGGAAGTTTTAGAAGAAATAAATTTTGCTTAAATAAATTTATGGCTTGCTGCAGGAGTCCTGGTGGCATAATGTCTAACAAAGATGCCAACCAAAAGGTCAGGTGTTCGAATCCACTTGTAGATCACGGAGAGAAAAACCAGGCAGGCTTTTCCCTTAAGGAGTGTCACTGTGATTCCCAGCCTACTCCACGGAGAGAACTTTCATTTGCTTGTCTAAGGTCCACTGAAGCAGTAAAGTTTGTGATCGCGTACTAATAATGTTCCTTACAGTTGGTATTAGCATGTAGACATTAACACGGCAGTTTTTACGTTGTCATTCTCATCATCAAGAAAAGAAAAGTCATTCTAGGAGGATACAGCCACTGCGCTTATAGACAGAAGTAGCTGTCAAACTGCAGGTTTTCAGGTTCGGCAAAGTGCGTCTGATGGCAGGTGGACCCCGGAGACACAGGGGCGCTCATCGCGGAGGGGCGGGGCACAGAGGGAAAGCAGCCGAAGTGTCAAACTCCGGCGCGCGCACTTCCAGCACCGGCGGGGAGCCCAGCTCTGCGGTCCCGAGCGCTCCCCTTCGGCAGAGCCCTCCCCCAGGGGCGCCGGCGCAGGGAGGAGCGTGGCCGGGGGCCGGAGGAAGGGGCGTCTCTTACCTGCGCTAGGACAGTGAGGCTGCGCTCCGGCGCCGCGAGATGTACGCGGCCCTTGTACCAGGCCACCCCTGCTCCTGTCAAGGCCACGCCGGCCACGGCCGCTGCCAAAGGCGCGGGGCCGGGCAAAGCCTGTCTCGTGAGAGCGAGCGCACGCCGCAGCCGCCCGCCCCACGTCGCGAGCAGAGCTCCTCGGTTCGCCGCAGCCATCTTCGCGGAAGTGAGGAGTGACAGTGCCCGGCCCTGGCGGGGCCGGCGCCACCTCCCGCGATTCCGGGAGCGCCCGCGGCCATGGTTCTCGCGAGACTCTGTGGCCTCCGCAGCCTGGCCGCGGGCTGTGCGACCGCGGAGGGGTAGATATCCTGGGACACCCGGGACCCGCTCTTAAACTCCGAGGTCACCCTCTCCAGAGTGGGAGTGAGCGTGAGCAAGTGAAAGAATGCCGGATACACTTCCCCAAGAGAAGATGCCGTCGTTTATCATACAGACCAAGCCAGACCTTTGTCTTCGAATTGGCTGTTGGCGACCGGTGTGCATGTCAGAGCAGGACTGCTCTGTAGGGTTTCCGATGGCTGGTTTCCCAGACAGACTTCCAGGCCTTCTGGTTTGCTCCTCTGTCTGGATTCCAACACGTTATTGTGTAGGATCAGACCAAACAAAACCAAACTCGTTTTTGTTATCTGTGCTCATATAGGGCCAAGTTTTTGGGTATCATCGAGTTGGAGCTGACCCTCCAGTAGATTTTAAAGAGGCAGTTAAATTGCATGGGAGGAGATTGCCCATCTTTTTCCTGCATAGGAGCTAGTGGATTTGAACTACCTGCCTTTGCTTAGGCGGTGCATGGAAGCAGATTACCACATCTTTCTTCTTCAGAGAGCTGGTGGTTGTTTGCCATGGAGTTGGAACTGACCTAAAGCAGACCCTCCAGTCGGGTGGCCTAGCGTTTAGAAGCTGCAGTAGAAAGCTGCACTAGCTCCCTTAGAGAGGTTGGTGGATTCAAACTAAGAACCTTTCCATTAGCAGTGCCACACTATCTAGTTAATTCTAATACACAGCAACCCTCCGTTGGTTTCCAAAGCTCTAAATCTTAACGGTTGTTGTTAAGTGCTGTTGAGTCGCCTGTGCCAATCTCACTGTCTCTGACACACGTACCTCCATTACCCCAGTCACTCAGTCCATCTCATCAAGGGTCAATCAATCAATCAATCAATCCATCAATGAATCCAGCCAATCAATCCATTTCATTGAGGGTCTTCCTCTCCTGCGCTATCCCTCCACCCTTCCAAGCATGACTTCCCTCTCCAAGGATTGGTTCCTTCTTGCAACATGTCCAAAGTATGTCAGATGAATCTTCAGAATCCTTGCCTCCAAGGAGCAGCCTGGTATTACCCTATCTAGGATGGACCTGTTTGTTCTCTTAGCAGTCCATGGTATATTCAATATTCTCCAACACCACAGCTCAAAGGCATCAGTTCTCCTTTTATCATCCCTAGTCATTGTCCAGCACTCTGATGCATAGCAAGTGGCTGAAAAGACTATGGCCTGGATCAGGTGCACCTTAGTGTCCAGACTAACATCATTGCTTTCTAATACTTTGGTGGTGTCTCTGACAGCAGACTTTCCCAATGCAATTCATCTTTTAATTTCCTGCTGCTGGTGCCAAAAGTGTTGATTGTGGAGCCAAGCAAATTAAAGCTGTTAACAATCTCATTCTCTTCACTGTTTATCATGCTGCTTCCAACCAGCCCAGTATTGAATCTTAACTATCCATCTTTCTCCTGCAAAGACTATACTGGATTCAAGCTATCAGAGACGCAACACACTTACTTTGTATTAGGCCCTCAGAGCTCCCTAACTGTACCACTAGGACTTTATAGGATAAGAAGGTCCTACATTTCCCCCATTGTTATTAGAGGTCATAGAATGAACTACAACTCATAGTGACCCTACGAACAACAGAACGGAACCTTGATCTCCAACCCACACCATTCTTATCACCTTTGATATACTTGAGTTCATTGTTAAAGTAACTCTGTCAATCCATCTCATTGAGGCTCATCCTCTGTTTTCCTGATACTCCACCTTTACCAGCATGATGTCTTTTTTCAAGAACTAGTTCCCTCTGCAACATGCCCTAAGTATGTGAGATGAGGTTTCATCATCTTTGCCTCTAACAAACACTATGGTTACATTTTCTCCAAGACAAACTTGTTTTTTGGGGAGTCCTCAGGATACTCTGCTTTTCTCCAGCACCACAATCCAGAGGTGCCCTTTCTTCTGTCATCCTTGCTCACGGTCAGACTTTCAGATGCAAAGGAAATAATGGAAAATACCATGGCTTGCACTGGTTAATCTTAAAACTGACATTGTTACTCTGTAGCACTTTGGAGAGGTCCTTGACAACAGATTTTTTTCCCAATGCAACATGTCTTTTGATTTCTTGTCTGCTGCTCTAATAAGTGTTGATTTGAGATCCAAGTAAAATGAAATTCTTGATGATTTCCATCTTTTCTTCATCTATCATGATGTTGTCTGTTGGTCCATTGATGGGGATTTTTATTTTCTTGATGTTGAGATGTAACCTATATTGAAAACTGTTGTCTTCGATCTCTACAGCAAATGTTTCAAGACCTCTCGATTTTTGCAAGCAAGGTTGTGTCATCTGTATAATAGAGGTTGCTGAACTTCTCCTTTTTCTTTCAGGATATTAGCCTTCTAACAATAGGACAGTGAGAGACACTACCATGTTTTCTGGGGAGTGTGTGCACTGGAGAAGAAAATTGAATAGTGTGAGGTGGATACTTTGGCTAACATGGGGTGTTAAGAACAGAATAAATGATGTAATTTAGCTTTCTGATAGGCATGATGTGAAGGGGAGACTTTCATCACTGAAATGATTGAGGGTGTGTGAAAATGTAAAATGCTATGTCTTCTTGACGACTAGAATTGCCCTAACCTCCATAGACTTACACATTCTAAGAATGAAAAAAAATAGTGTGTGTACTCTGTGGCTCAGAAATATATATCCAGGTTGCTTCTTACCAATTATTTTAAATAACACCAGTTAGCTTGCCCAGTGCCTAATAAACACACTTGATTATAAGTATATGTTTGTATGTGTGTTCTATTTTAGCAACTAAGTTAACTTTTTATTTGAACAGTTGTCCCCAAATACCCAGTTTATCTCTGCCTGTGCTCATATTCTTTTTTATGGGGGTGGTGCTTGGAGGGGAGGTGGGTACTTTGGGAATTATTAATGTTGTGATTTGAGTGAAAAATTATGAGTGAAATTGATTTTCCATTCAACCATCCACACACTTTTTGTTTCATAACTATTGCAATACCTACAATGTAATTGCACTTCCCCATTTTCTCTGCATGATTCTCATGTCCACGAATTCTTTTATTTTTACTCTTTCTTGCCTTCAGGGCTTTATGGTGGGGCAAATGGTGCTCTTTTGACCTTCCAGGGTTGGTTATTCTAAGGAGTTAGTACCTCTCTGGTTGTCTCAGTCACATTAGAGGTTGTCTGTGGTTTGGCTGAAAGTTGAGCCACAGGGTTGAGTTTTACTCCAGACTTGAGGAGTGACTAGACCCATAGTCGTGGAGATTCCACAGATCTCTATTGGACAAGTAAGCCTGGTAATTATTATGCTTTTGAGCTTTATTCCATTTCCCACCCCCAATCTATCCAAGATTTTATACTGTGATCATTTTGAGAGCAGTTGGCAGTGGTAGCTGAGCACCATCTAGTTCTTCTGGTCTCAGGGCCATAAAAGCTGAGGTTCCTATGGTTCGTTAGTTCTTTTGACTAATTGCTTCTATACATCTTTGCTTTTCTCTTCTTTGTTGCAAGGAGACCGATAGTTGCATCTTGGATGGCTGCTTGAAAGCTTTTAAGACACTGGCCACTACTCTCCAAAGTGAGATTTTGGACATTTATCTTTGTAGGCTCTACTATGCCAATCAAACTTGATGTCATCCATGGGCTTCAGAACTTGTATTCACCATCCCACATTAATAACTTTCTAATAGGGCTTCATACTGGATCCATTTTGAGCCCATCCTGAGAACCTGTATTTTTGCTCCAAAGAAAAACTCAAACCCTGCCACTGATTCATAGGGATCCTATGGAGCCCATGGAGTTTCCAAGGCTGGAAATTTTAAGATCAGACTGCCACATTTTTCTCCCATGGAGTAACTAGTAGGTTTAACCAATAACCTTCTGTTTAACAGGTTTAACCCGAACACCATCAGAGCCCCTGTTATATTTTCTGTCCAGATGTACTGAACAGTATCTACAACTGCACAAGATTCCTGGGTGATTCTTACGTGTCTGGTCCTCTGATTCTTATGTATCATGTGGGTGATCTTGTTATAATGTAGATTCTTACTTAGGGCATGATGTCAGGAGGCACAGCTTTTGGGAAAAATGATAATATGCTACAAAAAGCAGACGGCCAGCAAAAGAGAAGCCCCTCAATGAGTTGGATTGACAAAGTGACTACAATGGGCTTAAGCAAGGTGGTGGTACCTCACCATGACACAGCAGGTCAGGGCAAGGTTTCCTTTGCTCATAGGGTTGCTGTGAGTTGTAGTCTATTTCATGGCACTAAACAACAATTCAGTATATTTTGTGTGGAAACAGAACTTCTCAGTAGAGGGGTAATACAAGATGAATTGGGTTAAAGCTCTATTTTTGTATGTGTCCAGACAGACCTACGCTCTTTAATTCAGGTGATGACTATTTGGAGGATGTTGACTGTAAATGTAAATTCAACATTCAAATGGAATGTAAATTCCATTCCAATAAACTACTTAATGGTAGATAATTATCCCACCTAAGACTAAAAGCTGGGGCCAGTTGCCACAGCAATACAGGGATTTTGTCTCTCTCATTGCCATAGAGCCAGAACAGACTCATAGCAGACCCTCCAGAGGATTTTTAAAGGCTGTAAATGACGTGGGAGGACATTGCCCATCTTTCTCTGGATGAGTGGCTGCCAGATGCAAGCTGACAAAGAGGATCTGCTGGTGGATTAACAGCACAACTTCCCACAGACTATGCCACCAGAGCTCCCTATGGATTTTATAAACCACTATAATAAGATGGATTTCATTTAGCAAATCTGCTCCCAAATAGCAGTTTAAAGGATGCCACTTTAAAGACTAAGGTGCACCTGACCCAAGTCATAGTATTTTTTATTGCT